AATAGAGATCGCCATAGAAGACGGGCAGCTTGCTACTTCTTAATTAGAAAAAAATGTTTCGTTTACACAGAGAGCTCTACTATTCTAATAAAATATTGCTAGTAGATATAGATCATTTTAATGAATCATGAAGTATCGGTAGATATATACCGAATCCAGACCGTTCGAACCTGAACTCGACTCGAATTATAGAGCTGAGCTCAAATCATGAGATGGGTATGGGCGAGGGTGGGTATACGCGTAGTAGGCGACTGTAAGGAGTACGTATGTATCCGAGAAGAGTATAGCACCCACATCACACATTTTCTTCAGATGTAATTTTATTTTAGAAATATTTCAGTAATATCTACTGAAACAAATATCGATTTTTTTAAATTAAAATGTTTATAATTTATTTGATTTCACATATAACACTATTTTATTTTGATTTAGCCTTTTTGAACAACACATGTACAGCAACAATGAGCAGCTCAGCCATCGTTCTGCTGAACCTTCAAGATGCGGCCTTATTTTCTTATACATACTATACATATACATTTGTGGCTGCAGCGACTACTACAACAATGATGCTGTCTTTTCGTCAAGATTCTAGTTATTGGTGTTTGGATGACATTTCAGTCACGTACAATGGGGTACAGCTGTGGCAAGATGGTGGTTTTGAAGCGAGTCCATTAACTTCATATTATACTTACTGTAATCTGAATGGAGCTAGTAGTGATAACGGTGCTATATCAACCAAATGTGTTAATTCAGGTAGCTATTGTTATCACGATGGCTCATATACATATTCGGATTATCTCAGTCAAGCGTTTACAACAGTAATCAGTGGAAGTTATAACATTAGTTTTTGGTTAGCCAACCAAGGTGGCACTCCGAATAGTGCCCTGGTGATCATTGGTTAATTGGGAGTAAAGCAAAATCTTCCGCTGCATAGTTATTTCAAAATTAGATATACTTATTTATTTAACACAAAAACTCTAAAATATTTATCTCTGTATATATATATATATATATCAAGCGTTTGTGTGTGTTTTTTAATTCGACATTACGAAAGAGATGCAAATGCAGTTTTTTCTTCATTAATAAACATTTATTTTCTTCGCTCTGAAGTGCTTCAAAAAAATCAATAATAATGGTAAAAGCATTTAGCAAGTATAAACACAAAGATAAACCATCTTGAGGGTGTGAGTGTGGGCGTAGATGGAACAGAATACCCATACTCACCTTCAAGATGCTCATGCTGAACAAGAATATATAATTAGAATTAAATTTCGTTAGTATATTGTGAAAAGGGCAGGGACCACAAAATTTGCATAGTTTTTTGCATTTTTAGGATTTCTTGAAATTTGGGGCTAAACGTATAAGATGTATATGTCCTCAAAGGAAATATATGTAAAGCTGATTGTTTTACTACAAAATATAACTCATTAATATCTACAATATAAGATATAACTCAGTCCATTTGAAGATACTTGTGTTTTTTTTTGGGTGAAACCCCATGAAAATGCCCTTGAATGATAATTGAATTCTACTAATAAAGCAAACTTTTAACTAAAATGTTATTAAGATTTTATTGAAATTTTATAAGACGATCAATATTTAGTACAGAGTTAGAACATTCTGTATGATACATGCAAATTATATAATAGCATGACTGTTCAATTCTGCCTTTCTCAATTCAGTTTATAGAAAAATATTTTTCTGTCAATTTCGATTAGTATAATTCAGTAGTTGGAAGATACGTACCATGAGTTCCGCTAATAACTAATATTGTTCCATTTGTTAATGTCGACGTTGCCAAATAACGTCGTCCAACGTTCATATTTGTTGCAGTTATCCAAATACCTGCTGATGGATTATACAATTCAGCACTACTGAGATAACCACCACTATTCTGCCCACCAGTAGCTAATACTTTACCATTTTCTAATGTGACTACCGACGGTTCATATCATACAGCATTCATGTTTCCTGTAGTTGTTCATGCTAGATAAGATAGACAAGGGAGAAGAAGAGATTGTTGTTAGAATATATTAAAATTTCTCATGTACATAGGTTGATCATCTATTAATCAGAAACTAAATGATCTTGAGTCTTTGATAAACTTTTCTTTGCTTTCATGTGTAAGGTTAAGATCTGTTATGAAATTTTTCAAACAATTTAAAGAAATAAGAAAATTGCAGGTTCTTGAATTTAAGTGAATTAAGGTAAAATATGTTATGAAAGACTTCATCGATATTAATCGAGTTTTCGAATTTAAGTAAAGCCCATTCTGCATGGTTCAACATTGTGGAAACAAGAGTGACCTTCACCATCTAAGGTACAGGGTGTATATATATGTGAGAATACAAGTGAGAAAATATAATACCCACATCATTCCCAAGAGAAAGTTGGTGTATTTACGCTCAAGTACTGATGTTGATGAAAAGTGTTCTTTTCGGGTGTGGAGTTAGCATTTTATACCACTACGGTTTTCTTTTAACACCTCGACTCTAAATAAATGCTACTTAAAACATAAGATTAGGCATTCATAAGCATGTCGATGTGTAAAATCATGCCCACAAATCAGATTAAAATTGATTATTTCATAAATAAATATAGATTAAAATCAACTGTTTCAGTTATAGAAGGGGATTTTTCTTGGATTCAATCTTGTGCTAAAAAATCCCAACTTAATATTTCCCGGTTGTTTTCTATTTGCTATCTATCTTGCAAGTATTATCAGTTAGGAATGTTTAGTATGCGAGTTTGTCTAAATTATAATGTGAGTAATTGATAGAGATGATACCTGTAATAGACTCGTGCTGACAGTGTACTAAGAGAAATAGTGCTACCTATAAATAGCACTGGACATAAGTCTTCAAAAATGACTCAATAAATATTACATTTCTTAGATGATCTGGTTGATGCAGGATAGCACTCATAACATTGGGGTCCGATAGAAGGCGCATGTCTTTTCATTTGGATGGATATTTCCAATTATCTTCTATGCTATATTTACAAGCAATGACGTTATCTAACTTTATTTAGTCATAGTATTTATCATTATCAACCTTTTTCGATGTAATGAGAAGTTCCTGAAGTGACCCACTCTCACCAATGAATTACTGGTAGAATTAGTCCGTTCCGCTGACAAATTCTCTTACACATGAAAAATGCCCTCTGTACTTATTTATATTTATTCTTTTATTATATAATACAGAGAATTTATTTAAAGATTCAAAAATGTGTGTCTCAGCGTGATAGTCTCTTGTCCTACACTCATACTCAAATCTTCATATTCAAATCTATGTAATACGATATGTCCATCGTGTAATGTCTTATGAAAGCAATGTTAATAGTTAAATTCATGAAATGTTAATAAATCAATAAGATTAAGTTTGTGAATAAATTTCAACAATGTAAGAGAATACTGATGGTATTCGCATTATAGTTTGCTGCAACAATATCGATTTTATTGTCATTGTTTACGTCACCTATTGCTACTGATAGTGGACCAGTACCAACCGAGTAAGTTAACTGAGAAAGAAATAGTCCATTGCCTGTACCAAGAAGAACACCGATGGTATTCGAACCAGAATTTGCGACAATAATATCTTGGTTATTATCACCAGTCATGTCACCAATTACTACTGAATATGGAGTAGTGCCCGTTGGATAAGTAATTTGAGAAAGAAACGTTCCATTGCCTCTGTTGAGAAGAACGCTAACGGTGTTCGAACCCGAATTTGCAACGACAATATCAATTTTATTATCATTATTGACATCACCTATTGCTAACGATTGTGGACTTGTACCGACTGAATAATTAGTCTGAGAAAGAAATATTCCATTACCAATGTTTAGAAGAATACTGACGGTACCTGAATTTAAGTTTGCGACAATAATATCGACTTTATTATCATTATTTACATCACCTATTTGTACTGACACCGGAGTGCTATCTACTTTATAAGTAGTTTGATTAAAAAATGTTCCGTTGCCTTGGTTCAGTAAAACACCGACGTTGTTCGAAAGAGCGTTTGCAACAACAATATCCGACGCGTTATCATTATTCACATCAGCTACTGCTACTGCGTAGGCAGTGGAGCCAGCTGAGTAAGTAACTTGAGTGAGAAACGTTCCATTATCTTGGTTGAGAAGAACGCTGATAGTGTTCGCACCATAATTTGCAACAGCAATATCGAGTTTATTGTCGCGATTCATATCACCTACTGCTACGAAATATGGACTTTGGCCAACCTGGTAGGTAATCTGAGATGAAAAGATCCCGTTACCAGAATTTAGAAGAACGCCGGTAGTATTCGATTCACGATTCGCGACGACAATATCGGATTTATTGTCATTATTTATATCTGCTACTACCACTGATATGGGAAAAGAACCAACTGAGTGTATTGTTTGATTGTAGAACATACTATAGCAACCTATTAAATAGAAAATATACGTGTCAGGCAGAATTAAACTTATTTTTAAAAGCATTCTATGATCATATGATTTTAAAAAAGTTTCAAACAATAATACAGTTGCTATTATTATTTTAACTTTTTGAAAGTTGTAAAGTTCTCAAGTTGTATTCGATAAAAATTGAATATAGCCTTAGAAAGATGTAGAGTGCGGTAGATGTTTAAAACAAAATATAACAAAAACTGTTTTAAAGAAGATCATAAATTTTTTTCATGAGTAAGGTGGATAGAATACTTATTTTTATCTCATTGAGTAAGTTTTATCATTTCCACTCAATAAAATATTTTAAAATAAGTTTTTCTTAATCAATCCCGACTAAGAAAAAAAATCAAATTTTCGCGCGGAAAGAATATATGTGAGAAA